AAAAAAAAAAAAAAAGAATAGGGAAGCAGAGGAGGATTCATGGAAAAATATTAATTATGCAGTGAAGTTCAGGTTATTGTAAAGGACTTGACTAGCAGGAGGTCCAGTGGATACCTAGAAGGCCTGCTGATGACATATGTTCTCAGGAATTGGGCTGGTTTTTATGTTTGTGGAGGCTGCCTACTCCCATCTATACAAGTGTTGATTTCAACAGAATACCTTGGCTCCTCCCATAAAAAGAAAAATGATTTCAGAAAAGGGTAACAGATTTTGATCAATGTTATGTTTACAGATTTATTTACTTTTTTAAAGATTTATTTATTTGAGAGAGAGAGTGAGAGAGAGAGAGAGCATGAGTGGGAGGGGCAGAGGGAGAGAGAGAATCTCAAGTGGACTCCAGACTGATCACGAAGCCCCACACGGGGCTTGATCTCAAAACCCTGAGATCATGACCTGAGCCAAAACCAAGAGTTGGACGCTTACTGACTGCACCACCCAGACACCTCCAGATATTTATTTTCTTAAAATAAGATCTCATTATCATTTTTCTGTGCCCAATGGTCTGCATATATAATACATATTACATATTCAAAGTATATAATAGATGTCACATATATATGCATGTGTTTATAAATATAAATATATATAAATATGTACATATAATATTCATTCAGTTGATTATGGCTGAAGAAACGAGAAGACTTGAGCACACAGGCCAGTGTCTTAGTGTCATGGGCACTCTCAGAGGTGGACCTAGGAAATAGCAGCCTCACCCGTCTGTATCCTAGACAGACAAGAGCCACATTAAATACATTACATCATCACAGCAAGAATGCTGGGACTTCTCAGTTTTATATCTTACATCAAATGCAAATCTTTCCCTTTTTATGACTTATGTCAAACTGATTCCTTTATACATCATTAAATGCCTAATATACACCAAACACCATAGTAGAACACTAATTTTCTAGTTTTTAATTTTTTCTTCACAAAACTTTATAAGTTGGATGCTGATATTTTTAGTTCACAGATAACAAAGCCAAAGCTCAGTGGATCCGCACAGTTAACAACCACTTGAGCTAATATTCACATACATTCTATCATGTATTTACCCAGTAAATATTTATTGAACTCCTTTTATGTTCTTGGCGCTTATTATATGCTAGAGATTCATTGTTGAATAAGTTGGCCATGCCCCTGCTCTTAAAGATGTTACTTTCTAGTAAGGGAAGTAATCATAATAATGATAATTTTTTTTTTGAGAGAGAGAGAAAGAGTGTGTGAGTGGGGAGGGACAAAGGGAGAAGGAGAGAATCTTAAACAGGCTCCCCACTGAGCACAGAGCCAGATGTGGGTTTGATCTCACAACCCTGAGACCATGACCTGAGCCAAAATCAAGAGTCAGATGCTTAACCTTAACCAACCGAGCCACCCAGATGCCCCAATAATGATAATTTTTAAAACTATATAGATATGCATATATCTAATGAGCTACAAAATTTCAGATGAGGATATATTTAATGAGAGAGTGAAGTAATAAATTGTGGCCAATGGGAGGTAATTTGTACAGGGGATTAGGGAAGGTCTTACTGAGAGGGTGACATGTGAGGTAACATAAATAAGAAGAAAGTGTCAGCCATGGAAAATCTGAAAGCAGAGAAAACAAGAGCAAGAACACCCTCCATAAAATTAAAATAAGTTTAATTTTTCAAGGAACAGAAAGTCAGCATAGCAGACTTACAGGGAATAAGAAGGAAAATTGTGGGAAATGATTATTTGTCTGTAAAATCTATACTTTTTAGATAATGTTAATTAGCCTAACTGTACTGGAATATATAATTTCAAAAATAGTTGGTGTCCAACCAAGACAGTTATGTTTTTCACATGAATATGGGAGTCATCAGAGGGGAAAAGTCACATTAGTAAGTGGTTAAACCAGACTACAATTTCTAGGATAGTTCAATGAGCTATTGAAAACTGCTTGGCATATGGGAAACACACACGGCAAGGGTTATCAGTGTGCGTAAAGATATTTTCTTTCCCTCTCTTTATACCCCACAGACTTAGAAGAGTTCAAATACTGTGCAGTGGGCACTGGAGTAGAGATTTCTGGGGAAAAAAAAAAAGGTTTATTTTATCCCATCTTGCCTTTTGTGTTTGAGTTATTTTAATATTTTCTTGTAAATATTTTGTAATATTTTAGTGAAATGGATCTCAGTGTCATTTCCTAATACAAAGCAAGATATGTGGGAAGAAAATGTACAATTCTTTGATTAAAATTATTTCCCACTGACCTAAATTTTGAGTGTTTCGTGGAATAAATAAATAAATGTTCTACACCAAGATAAAAAAAAAAAAAAGAAGAGTTCAAATACTGTTGCAGATTTAGAACTGCTATATTACCCTGTTACCGGACCCCCAGGACTGTTCTTGAGCCTTAATGTCATAGAAATGAACACTGAACGCAAGAGAAAGAAAGCCAGGCAGAGTTTATGAGAGATAGCTTGTATACAAGGGAATCAACAAGAAAGAGGAATGTTGCTCCCCAAAGGGGTAGTGTGCAAGGCTTATAAAGGCACTCTTCCAAAGGGCAAGGGGCTGGGAGTGGGGAAGCGTCCTTCGGTCCCACGGTCATTATCTTTGGTCGTTACTTTTCAGTGGACATGAGACAATTACAGGATGCCTTTCTCCATGGTCGACATCCTTCTAGGGCTCCTGGAACGTAGAAATACTTGTACGGCAGACTTTAAATTGTGACTCCTAATTTTGCCCAGATGACCATTAATCCCTAACAGCTGTTATCTCTCATTTGTTTGCTTTCCCAGGACGTATCTGTCTCTAAGAGTATGAAAACTTTTAACCTCAAACTTTTGCCTCAGACCTGTGGCCTTACAGGAATTAAGTCCCTCTTGCTTTCCTATACTCCCTCAATCCCATGCATTCTTCACATTATAGGGTATGTAATTAGTATCAGGATGTGGACATTAACTCAGATCTCCCAAGTTTAGAAAAATAAACTAAGTTGCTTTCACCCAAAGAAATTAGCAAAAGCATCAGCCGTTTCCCTTAAGTACCCAACTTGACCCTTCCGTCACTCATCTGCAATATTCAAGTGGGCACTCATCTACAATATCCACTGGCAATCTACAATCCCACACACCTCCTCGAATAACACACTATAGTTTAGAACTTTTTATGTTTTTTATACATATTCTTTCATTAGTTCATATTTATTTATTCATGCATTCAATGAGTATTTACTGTTTGTACTGCCTACGTACCAGTTTCCAGTTACTATGTCAGGTGTTAGAGGCACAGAAGGGGCAAGCCAGAAAAAGTTCTTGGCCCTAAGCAGTTTACAGTCTAGTAAAGAAAGTAGACAACAAACAGTGGTATAATATCAGATATCACCAAGTGATATAAAGAAAGATAAAGGTATATGGTGGCATAGAGCATGAGATTCTTTTTACATAGAGAAGGTAAGTGAAGACCTTCCTGGGCAGATCACAGTTGAATAGTTAATAAAATGAGTTGAAGGGAGACCAAGACTTGCAAGGAGGTGGAAGAAGAACCTTTTAGAGAAAATACAAAGATTCTGTAGTGGGGGTATGCTTGACATTTTTGTGGTATAACAGAGGTTACAGCGGGAGAGGACAGGGACTAATTGGGAAAATGGCCAGAGAGGTAGCCAGGAGTCAGATCATGGACCTTCTCAACTATAAGAAGGTCTTTGGATTTTATGGTAATTTGGATAAGAAGACTTTGAGGGTAGGGTGGGGGATGAACATCTCACCAAAGTGATTTGACTTAATTGTAAAACAACCCTTCTTGCTGTTATGTGGAAAACATAGTAGGATATTGACTGAAAAAATGGAGTGGAAGCAGACAGCCCTTAAGACCAACATACACCTCTTCATGTCTTACTTTAACAAATAAATACGTTGGCTCAACAAAGCTATGGTAGATGATAATGCCGAACCTACCTAGGCATAATACCTCCACAAATGTTTTATTCTGAAAACACATAGTCTTTAAAGAGGTAATATTAATGATAAAAATTAGGGCAGAAAGATTGGTAACCAGAGTGGTATTTTGATCCCCTCCTTAAATCACCATACACAGACATTCTGCCTTCATAGCTCACTGGGATGGTATTGATACCATGGTAATATATTTTTTATAATAATCATACTCCAAATGTCTGACACCTCAGAGATACAGGAAAATAATCTAAAATAGGGGAAATTTAGAGAAGAATAAGGTATTAGGAGAAATTAGGGCAATCTATATGAAAGTAAAATATGACCAAAAAATTAACAGGAGATAAATGAGACAGATAATTTAAGATAAACAATTTTAGAACATAGAAAGGAAGTTCCAGACCACAAGGTTTCTATTTCCTTAAAGCAAGTACGTACTAAATGATACCTTACAAGAACTAGTCCCCAGGAAGAAGTGAACGATACCCTTCTGACAGCCAATTTATCGCTTCCTAAGTAAAATTCTTCCAGAGTGGAGAGAGATCCATAAGGACAGAGATCTTAAAATTCTTATTTAACAATAAACCCTCTAGCCCCAAAACAGGTCAGGTTCAAAGTGCATGCTCAATAAACATTAGTTGTTTATTAAATAAATGAATGAGGTTCCAAGGGAAATATTGCTCTCCAAATTATTTCCACCTCAAAGTTAGGAATCCTTAACTTTTCATTCTTTACTTAAACAGGCTATCTCCTAAGTTATTTGTGTTTTTCACAAATTTAAAGAAGGATGTCTCAGATTCTGGGAAAATCCCGCTTGTCTCTTCATGCTACACCTACAGTTGTGAGAAAGCACATTTCAGACAACAGGGAAAACCCGCAGCTCACCACAATAACACATTGTAAATTGTCTGGGCTGTTGGAGCATAAATTAAAGAGAACTGATGAAACTGAGTGGTTAGGAGGCAGGAGAAAGGGGGTGGAGACAATACAACCGAATATAAACGCTGAGATACCTCACAGACTCAGAGACTGAACAAGAGCTTTGGCAAAGACTTTTGCTATAGATTGGCTTGACCTGGGATTAACCGGGGAATCTTGACTAGAACAAAGATGAATTCTGAAGATTGTTCCATAACAGAGAACAGCTCCTTGCGTCCAGAGGGTGGACAACAAAGTAAGTCAGACCTCTGTTATATACTGGTAACAAAACTCTCTCTCTCACACACATCTACCATGTATCATCTCTCTCTTTCTCTCTCTCTCTCTCTCACACACATCTATCTATCATCTATCTTCTATCTCTCTATCCTCTGATATTAGCAGTATTTTTAAAAATGAGCCTTTTTTCTTAGAAAGACTCGATTACATTTTACTTCAGTCCAGGTAAAGGAGAAAATGAGAACAAGTAAATATTTCTCTATCCATGAGAAGACAGGATACCTGAGACTTGAGAGGAAACCACAAAGGTGGATTTCTGAAGATAGTTAGAGATCTGTTTTTCTTTCAGTTTATATCATATCAATTCTTCAGATTTAATTAGAAAATTCCCTGCACTGGCCCAGTGCATTCACCACCGTTTTTCCATATCCATCTGTACCTGCTTCGGGATGCATTGCCTCTCTTTATAGCAATTCTGTTTTCCCCATAACCAATTGCATTCCTTATTGTCTTCACCTTGTGTCTTTCTTTGTATGCTTTCTGTTTGCTTCAGCTTGTGTTCTCATGACAGCATCTTCCAGTTGCTGGGAATGAAGGTTTCCAATCTTTGAAAGAATAGCTGTATCTGAACATATCTGAACATTTACCAGGCCTGGAGGTAATTTCTTAGGAGAATGTCATGAAAAATTCTTGAAAATATGAACTTCTACTTCTGTACTCTTCATGGAACTCTTCATTTCATCATTCTGACTCCCCCTTTCAATCACAGGCTTCAAATTCTACATGAATCATACGTGGTTCTTCCTTTCTTTTGTTTTTCATCAAAATACATCAAAATATGGCCATCTTAGCTATTTACCTTTTCCTTTCTTCTATTCATCTATTCTGTCCACAGACCTATTCTATTTCCTATTATTAGGATGCTCCCATTGTTTTTCCTATAATGTGTTTCTGTGAGGTTTTCTTGATTTTTTCCATATATCCCTCTTCCTCTGTAATTAATGAGGTGCTCCAAACACTAGCATGTGGGAGGGACAGTTTACTTATAAACAAAGTAATCCAGTAATAAAGGGGTGTGTTACGAGCAGCAGAGCTGAACAATCTGGAGGAAGGGATTGTTTTCTGAGTGTGTGTCTATTAGACTGGTTTACCTTAAAAAGGCATCAGTCACTTCTGATAAACCCATCTTTCACCTAAGAACACAAAATCAAGGGTAGATAACAAGTGCATGCCACACAGATTTCTGGTGGCTAGGTAACCGTACTTTTATGGTCCAGTTGAGCTGCTGAAAAGAAGAAATGTATATAATAATAAAACCACTCAATACATAGAAAGCATAGTTGAAAGAAGAAGGGCCTAATTCAGGAATCCTCACCTTTTTCTGAGTTCATCCAATTTTCTGTTGAATGTTTAGTTTATGCTGCCCTTGCGGTTGCGTTATTAGTATGAACAATCCTCGGGCATCACCTTTGGATGTCTCAGTATATAACTGTTGATTTATTTTCAGTTTCTTCATTAATGAACAAGGCCCATAATCAGAGCGGAAGTATGCTGTTGGGGGAGTGTTTTGTCACCTAGGTGATAAATCAAACTGTGAGTAACAATAGCCCTCACGAATGGAAAACAAATGTACAGTCTGAGAATTATCTCCACAGCTTGCCCATTGGATAAGCCAATAGACTGAGCTAGGCTCTGAGTCCATGAGCCATCTGGACAAGTTAGTGTTTGCTAAGGAACCAGAACTGTTGCTTCATTGAGTCTAAGCGGCATGATCGACTCTCACATGGGAAGAAGTGAAACTAGACAGACAGCTCTGAACTTAACACCCTACCTACCAAAGGCTGCTTCTGGTGATCTACTGGTGAAAAAAAGGAAGATTTGCTTTGAGAAGCTGTGAGAAATAGAACTAGATAGGAGCTCAGTAAAGGCTTCTCTTGCAAAATCTGAATGCAGACCTCCGCTGGGAAAAACAATCCCCAGCAGCAAAAGCTGATGTTGGCAACCAGTAAACGATGAAAGAAAGCGTATGTCTTTGCTCAGTCTGACTTTAGAGAAATGTGTCAAGGAATAGAAATAAAAAATTTCAAGATATGTTCTCTGTTAACATCCTTTGAATTATGAAAGCCATACACATTGAAAAACAGGATATGTTTGCACTTGAGGCTATTTTGCTTGGTAAACTCTAATATCATGCAAGTGGCCATTTTACATTTCAGGTTTTGAGAACACAATAGGGAAATACAGATTTCTTGTGAGGCCAGATTTTTAAAATCTCAAGAGCTCATCCTAGCAAAAATCAAATTCAAACTCTGGACGCAAAATCCCCTTCTCTTCTTCCTCAATTATTTACTTATATTCTAAGATAGATATTCTTCTAGTTTTTTTTAAACTAAGAATCATCATTCACATCATATTCATATTCCACAAAAATATTTCTTACTGGTGAAATCAAATTTTTACTTGGTTTCGGCACTATATGGAAGGTAAATGAAATAATCAACTTCCACCTAACATTTGTTAATATTGTTATGTTTCTTCTATTAATTTAACTTCTCTTGAAAAATTCAAATATTTGACTCTTCATCTACATATCACTTTTGACTGAGGTATAATTTACATACAATGGATGCACACATCATAAGTATGCAGTTTAATGAATTAAAACAAAAACTCCAATCAACATTTGAAATTTTCTATCACCCTAGAAAGTTCCCCTGTGTTTCTTTCTGGTCGAATTACTTTTCCTACACACATAAAAGCAATCACTTTTCTGATTTCTGTCACCAGAGTTTAGTTCAACTATTCTTTTATTTTTGAGTATAGTTAACATGTATTATTATGTTATTTTCTGGTGTACAGAAAATGTAATGCTACATCCTTTTATGTTATGCTCTGCTCACCATTAAGTGTAGCTACCATCTGTCACCATACAATGCTACTACAGTATCATTGACCATAATCCTTATGCTGTGCATTTCATCCCCATGACTTATTCATTCCATAAGTGGAAACCTGTATCATCCATCGCCCTTCACGCATCTTGTCTTACCCATTCCTCCATCCGCCTCCCCTCTGGCAACCATCATTTTGTTTTCTGTATTTATAAGTCTGACTCTGTTTATTGTTTGTTCCTTCATTTGTTTTGTTTTTAAATTCCACACGTGAGGGAAATCATATGGCACCTGTCTTTCTCAGTCTGACTTATTTCACTTATAGTTCAGCAATTCTCGAATGTCATACAAATGGAAATATACAGTATATAGTTATAACTGCATTTTCTTCACTCAACATTTTTTTGAGATTCACGCATTTTGTTGCATTTATCAGGGTTTTTTTTAATTGCTGAATAGTATTCAGATATACCATAATTTGTTCATCCATATTCTTATTAATGGATATGTGGGTTATTTCTAAGACTTGGCTCTTAAGAATAAAGCTGCTAGGAACATTCTTGTTTTGTACAAGTTAGATTGCTGGATCATAGGGTGGGTGTATATTTAATTGTATAGAGAAAGAGTTTTCCAAATTAGTTTTCCATTTTACTCTCCCATGAGTAATATATGAAAATTTCAATTGCTTCACATCTGTACCAACTTCACCAAAAAGTACCATCAATCTTTTTTTTTAAACTTTCAGTCACGCTAGTTGTAGCTATTTATATATCAATTCAGTATTTTTTATTCATTATCCACACCTATTGCATTTATGTCATCTCTCTTAAACAGTGACTACAGAAAGGTAAAGGCATTGTGCTTAGGATGTCCCTTTTATATATCTTCTAGGATAATCAGAGATTTAATAAATGTTCTTGTGATTCAAACAGTAAAATTATGATATACTTAGAATTTTTGTAGCTACTAAGTGCATAGATTGGGGAGATATTTTATGATCTCATTCTTATTCCTGAATTGTTTCACTATCCTACTTCACTCAAAACTGGGGGGAAGTTAGCTTATAAATTTCATAGAACAAGGTAAGGAAGAATTAAAATGTAAATGCCTCAGGAGAATATCGAATGTCCCTTTCTTGCTTCTACAGTCTGCCTGAATTCATCATCAACTTTCTCTCTTCAGGTAATGCCGCCAGCCCTCGTTTTGCAATGCAGCATGAAGGGTCCCTTCAAGTTCCTATCCCATGTGCTGTCGTGAATGTGGTCCTCATCACTGTTTTAATCATAGCTCTCATCGCTATATCAGGTGGGTCAGTACTTCATGAATTCATTGAGTCTCTGCTGTTAGCGTTTATGTCCAGCTGAAATCAACAGGGATTACTTGGTCTAATTAATGAGAAATTCTGATTAATTTAGAATTATCCCAATTATTATATGTGGCTGATTTCTTAAAGAATACTAAATATAATTCCATATTCCTTAGATGATCAATACAGTGCTTTCTGAGTTTTCTAGAGCTTCTTTACAAGTATTAAAAGTGTCTATGTTTTATACATTATTGTGGGAGAAAATTACACTTGAGCATATTTTAAAATCCAAAATGAAAGGGACTGATTTAGATTCTAAATAAACAGGCATTTAGTTAGAAAAAAAAATGTGGGCTTCACATTCACCCTTGATAGAAAAAAATAGTATCGAAGCCATAGATTAATCAGGTATTGATCAGTCTTCTGTCTCTTATCTCCAAGGCCACAGAAGGGTGGTTATGGATAATTTAAAATATATCTAGAATCTCCCAAAGAGTCAACTGTGATATGGTATTCAAAACATATAGCAATACCAAGATACATTTGTGCCTTTACAAACATGAAATTTTACAACTTTCTGAAACATCCTCAGTCAGGGATCTTTCTGTATTCTGAATTACTTCCCTGTAAATGTTTCTGTCCTTCATCTCCCAATACAGTGTTTTATTGACTGCATTGTAATTTATAATGCCCTGTCCCCTTTCTAGTCCAAAGGCTACTTGCAAGATTTTTCTATTTTCCTACCCCTTTCTGAGATTACGGCTCGAAAGACACCCTCTTATTTCTTATATGCTGACAATAATGATTAGGCACAAGAAGAGATTATATAAGGTTGTCACCTAGCACTGCTCAGCACCTCCTGAACTGATTTTGCATACTGTGGGTATTTACTTTCTTTTGTTACTAAAACAAACCACTTTCCTGTTCACAGTGGGCCAATACAATTGTCCAGGCCAATATATGTCCCCATTGCCATCAAATAGCCATGTTTCTTCATGCTCCGACGATTGGATTGGATACCAGAAGAAATGTTATTTTATTTCCACTGAAAAGAGGGGTTGGACGCCGGCCCAAAACTTTTGCTATGAACAGGGTGCTACTCTTGCGTTCATTGATTCTGAAAAGGACATGGTAAGATAGTATTCAAGAACGATTTCATAAAATATTGTTATTTTTTAACATAGATAATCTGTGATTCCTTTCTGTCTCCTGCTAAGTGACGACATTGTGCCTCTCTCCCTTGTGGGAAAATTTAGTCACAGAAAAGCCATATGATCAGTCTGAGGTCCCAATCAGGGTTCAGTTTAATCTTGTAAATTTGCTTTGATTACTTAACGTCAAAGCCCAAAAATACAAATGAGCTTGTCCTAAACAGAGCTAATAACTGATCGGCTTAGCTATCATGCCTTGAATTGCAGCTTCTGAAAAATAGGATTAATTATGTACTTACCCAGAGGGGTTGTTTAACACACACATCCTTTGTACTTTCTTCAAGAGCTTTTTAAAACAATATGTGGGTATAACTAATCATTGGATTGGGCTGAAAACTGAAGATGGTCAGACATGGAAATGGTCAGATGGCAAAGAATTTAACAACTGGTAAGTTTCAAGATGTCTCTTTATCCTCCCCAGAATGGCAGCTCAGGGAAGCCATTTTCCTTTCAAAGCACTGTTGTATATGATGGTTGTGCCCTTTAGGAGCAGAGCTTTATCAGTCTGTCAAAACAGACAAATACAAATATGCACTCTTTCAAATTCTTTAAAGAAGGGTTAATATTGCCATTTTTTCTTTTTATCTACTTGGAAGTCATACAATAAATGTTTCTAGTAATTTTATCTCAGCAAATTTTAGTGTGAGTAATAGACTCAGACATATTCCAGACATAATTACGATGATGCAAAAAGAAAAATCCAACACTGCCAATCTCATATATATTTTTTCCTGATAAGCTGACTTTTTAGAAAATAATCCCCTTTTACTCTTTCCCAGTTGTCATCCCCACAAGGATAAAACACAGTATTTCTAATAGCAAATTAGAGGCTTCTATGAACCTGACAGAAAACTTGCCCCAGAATGGAAGATGTTGACTTTATTACCTGTAGTTGATGTACATTTTGAAGTTTGAAGGACATTTTATATAGTTAGTATTAACCTTTGCCATCTGAAAACTCAGAACTGAATAAATTTCTAGCCTTCTAAATAGCTTTTTTTAAAGATTTATTTATTTATTTGACAGAGAGAGACACAGTGAGAGAGGGAACACAAGGAGGGGGAGCGGGAGGGGGAAGCAGGCTTCCCGCTGAGCAGGGAGCCCGATGTGGGGCTCGATCCCAGGACCCTGGGATCATGACCTGAGTCAAAGGCAGACGCTTAATGACTGAGCCACCCAGGCACCCTAGCTTTCTAAATAGTTTTATGATAATTACTGATAAGGAAAATAAATTTAAATTTCTAGATAAGGCATTTTTAATATGTGTCCTATGGTACACCAGATAAATGGAACACTTTGCTCTTACCTTTTTATCTTCCTTCCACAGACCCTTTCTTGCAATTCTTGTCTACTGTCTCTACAGATTGGTTTATGGTCACTTGACCAGATGACTTGCTTCATGAACTCCTATCAAACAAACAAACAAATCTGAGGCTACCCTCGCAAAGTTCATTTTCATGTAACTGAATGAAAATAATGAATTCAAAATCATTCTAAGTTTCTTTATTGTTCGACAGGTTCAGCCTCCCAGGATCTGAGAACTGTGCATTTCTGAATAGTACAGGGGTCAGCAGCACAGCATGTGGAAAGAATTTATATTCGATATGTAGCAAACCCGCTAAATAATGAGGAAACATATTTGCTTTTAGACTATTATAACATGGAACTCAAGGAAATTTGTGTTGATCGATGCTGCTCTATGGTCAGAAATTTTCCACAAAGACTTTCTGAAAAAACTTTGTCTTATTTTGGAAACCTTCTTCCAAACAAGACTATGGGAAAAAAGGAAGAGAAATTCCAGGAATATCTGTATTGTGGAACACTCTTGCCATGAGCTGAAAAAGTCACAGGTTGACTGATCGTTACATCCAAGAATGAGAAGAACGACTTTAAACCTTATGGATGCACTTTATATTTTTTAGAATTAAAAATAATAAAATAACTAGGCTTAGAGTTATTATTTATTGTTGAATGACTACCAAAACTGAGTGTGCTTCATGTATTTGCACTATTTGAAAACGTTAGGTGGCGGTATTAAAAACTGAATGTAAACAAAAAATTTTAACTGGTAGCATGGACATTTAGTCTAAATGCATTTTTTTTAAGTCAGAGAACATGTATAAGTGGACAAATGCTTATGAAGCTAAGCTTTGTAATATTTCTCTCTTTTTAGAGAAGTTTGCCAGGTGACTTTGTCATTTTCCCACCAAAAGAGTGGGATGATCATGTATTTATATTGTTGTTGTTTTTACTTCTTCTGTGTAATTCATCTTTTTCAATGTTACATAATTCACTGTCTTAAGAATCTTACACGTAGCATTTTACAGAGATACGGACAAAAACAAATATGAGGAATATTTGTGAAACAGATGAAGTATTGGAAAATGTGCAATATGTGATGTGGCAAATTCCTATCAAGAAAACTTCTGTATTGTTCAAACTTGGAATAATAATAGTCTTATCTGACTATATGTGTGTACCTTTCCTAATCAATTCTATCATGTGCAATGCTTCTTATGAAGTATTTTCTGAGTGCAATAGTGTTTCTTTGTTTGTCTTTTGTATTCAGTGCCCTTATAAGCTGATTTTATGTATGTTAAAATAAAAGTAGAATCGACAAAATGGTTTCTAAGAAGTGTTCATTTCTTGAAATACACTCAAAATTTTATGTCATACTAGAAATCAGAAAACAGAATACTATAACATTTTTTAAACTTATCTATAGTAAAAACTTAGCTTTATAAATTTGTACTTTTTGAATTGTTTTCATATATATTTCCAAAAGAGCTACAGTTATTTTTCTGTACAGCAGATCCTCAGTAAATATTCTAATTGACTTGGGAGGAATATATGTCACTTAAGGTTTTTTTGACTCTATTTTCTTCCTTTCTGTTATTATTCATCACCCTCATACTAAAGAGGCATAGGAAATTAGGAGACCCCTAGAGTCATCTTGGGAGGACCTGTGATTTATAGCTCATCTTCTCTCCAATAAAAGGATAACTGGTCCTCATAAATGATGCTCTGAAAGCATCTTGTTCAATTCTGAAGTTCTAGGCATATTTTAGTTATTTACACAAAGTAATCCATGAAGTAGAAACAAGGCACTACGCTAATCTTTATGAGATACTTCAGTCAGGAAAAATTCTGTTACCTTCAAAATTGTTTTGTGAATGTATTTCATAATATTCTTCTCTGAAAGCATTTCTGAATGCTATTGTGATATCTCTAAACTATTATCATGAGTACAGCATATTGAAAAGAAATGTGAATGGGGCGCCTGGGTGGCTCAGTTGATAAGCGTCTGCCTTCGGCTTGGGTCATGGTCCCAGGGTCCTGGGATGGAGCCCCACATCGGGCTCCCTGCTTGGCGGGGGGCCTGCTTCTCCCTCTCCCACTCCCCCTGCTTGTGTTCCTGCTTTTGCTGTCTCTTTCTGTCAAATAAATAAATAAAATCTTAAAAAAAAAAAGAAAAAGAAAAGAAACGTGAATTCCAGACATTGCTTAGTGATAAAAATATAGAGTTTCCTTCATCTCCATGTCCTTCAGTTCTCACAGCTGTAAAAGGAAACAAATGGCCTTCACCCTCTAATATCCCATCATTAGTAACAACAATATGCACCTGAGTCGTGTGAGAAAGCAATGTCTTGTGATTCGTGTGTTATGAAATGTGTAAATGGGGGGTGCCTGGGTGGCTCAGTTGGTTAAGCGGCTGCCTTTGGCTCAGGTCATGATCCCGGGGTCCTGGGATCGAGGCCGACGTCGGGCTCCCTGCTCGGCAGAGAGCCTGCTTCTCCCTCTCCCTCTCCTTGCTGTTCTGCCTACTTGTGCGCTCTCTCTCTCTGTCAAATAAATAAATAAAATCTTAAAAAAAAAAAAAGAAATGTGTAAATGGAAAGTGTTGCTAAAAGCCAGAGCACAGGAGAAATGCTGCCTGTTTCATCTCTGCCACCTGCTAGTTGCCCAACTGTTTTAGTTAGCATTAGTTAGAAATTTCCCCAAAATTGGGTAGAAATTAAATTAGTTAATACGTGAAAATGAGTTTAGAATAGTACCTGGCTCACAGTGGTGTATTAACTTCTAGTAATGATTGTTATAAATGGGAACATTATGTCATTAAATTTCCAGTATTGGCAAAAAGCAGCATTTCTACATAATATGTGTACGTCTACATAGCCTGTCTTTCTTTTTGGAGGGGTTATTTGTAAAACAATAAACAATTACATTAGGGTAGTGATGAAGCGTATACTAGGGAAAGTGTAGGGTGCTGTGGAAGTATATTACAGATATATACTTGATTTGCTCCTGTGTTCAAGCTTTTAGCTAATTTTTAAAATGTTGAATTTATAGGCTATATTCACCCCGGATAATTATGTTAATATGTACTGAAGGTAACCACCAGTTATCTGTGTTTTATTTGGCTTTTGCAACATAATTGCAATTCCTTCCTCTAAAAAGGGCAATAACAGTTCACCTGCTTATTTCACATAAATATAGGGATTCAATGAAATTAAAAGTATTTTTTAAATGATTGAATGGCACTGAAATGTTAGGTCCTATAGTCAGTATTGAATTGATTCAAAACTTTTAGTATTAATATAGTATTGATATAGAAATTATCTTTTTGTGCTTGTTCTCAATTTTCATAATTTTGACTAGATTTTAACACATGAAAATTGATCACAACTGAGATTAAAATGCTAAGAAAATTCTAGAGAAAATATTGGAAAATATATGGCCAGAAAGACTGTGAATGATCACATAAATTGGTATAGTTTGACCTTTGGAATACAGTTTTAAAATACTCATCAAAAGCCCTAACAGATTCCCTGTTTCTTTTGATGTGACAGTTTTTGGGGTGGGGGAGAGGAAGGACTTTAAAGGCATAATCTCTGATGTCCAAGACATAACCACAAAAATGTTTATCAAAGAACTATTTTTACCAGTGATAAATCAGAAACCACTTAATGGTTCAAAATTAAAGATTTGGTTAAATAAGTATGATTCTACTACATGATGAAATAATCTGACAACAATGAAAAATAACAATAAAAAAGAAAGTTGAGGAATATGGGGAAATATGCACACTATTATTGCTAAGCCAGGTAAAATAATACAGCCAGTAAGAGTCTATCCTGTTAAATATTGAACAGAAATACATATGCTTTGTGTTTCTATATACTTGAAGAGAGAAAATCACAAAGGTAAGCACAATGATTTTCCCTGAGTAATAGGAGTAAAGATAACCTTTCTTTTCTTCTTTATGTTTCTTTATAGTTTCAAGATATTCTATAAGAAAAATTTATATTTTAATATAGTATCATTAAAAGAAAAAATTTATATTTTAAATATAGTTTCATTAAAGTAGTCATTTTATTATTTAAAGCACAGCTCTACTTTTCTAGTGACCAATTACATATATTAAAAATTAGTTTGCTTTGAAGCAGACCCATAAATACAGAGAACAAACTAATGGTTGCAGAGGGGAGGGGGCGGTGGGATGGGAAAAATGGGTGAAGGGGAGTGGGAGTTACAGGTTTTCATTCATGGGATGGATAAGTCACAGGGAGGAAAGGTACAGCGTAGGGAATATAGTCAGTGATGGGAGCTATACTTGTGAGCCCAGCATAAGGTATTGAGTTGTCAAAACACTATGTTGTGCACCTGAAACTAATGATAATATAATTGACACTATATTTCAAGAAATAAAAAAACAACCAGTTTGTTTCAAGAATCTCCTCTACCCTAAATTAACTCAAGTCCCCCCAGTTTCATGGGCAGCCACAAGCTGCAGTGTCATCTAGTGGCTGGATAAAATCATGGCAGTTTGGGTTGGTTTGGTTTCTTGGTCCAGGAGATATACTTAACCTGAGAAAAATTATAGTTTTGTTTTTCTTTTCAAACAGTTTAAGCACAGTTTAAAGTTCGTGGGTAATGTAATCAGGTTAATGTGTTTCACCAGAAAGACATTGCATCTACTTTCTTTTTCTTATTATTATGTTATGTTACTCACCATACATTACATCATTAGTTTTTGATGTGGTGTTCTATGAGTCATTGTTTGCGTATAACACCCAGTGCTCCATGCAGTACGTGCCCTCTTTAATACCCATCACCAGGCTAACCCATCACCCCACTCCCCTCCCCTCTAGAACCCTCGGTTTGTTTCTCAGAGTCCATAGTCTCTCATAGTTCATCTCCCCCTCCGATTTCCCCTCCCCTTCATTTTTCACTTCCTACTATCTCTTCTTCTTCTTTTTTTTTTAATATATATAATTTATTATTTGTTTCAAAGGTACAGGTCTGTGTTTCAACAGTCTTACACAATTCACAGCACTCAGCTTAGCACATGCCCTCCCCAATGTCTATCACCCAGCCACTCCATCCCTCCTCCCCCCACCACTCCAACAACCCTCAGTTTGTTTCCCGAGATTAAGAATTCCTCATATCAGTGAAATCATATGATACATGTCTTTCTCTGATTGACTTATCTCGCTCAGCGTAATACCCTAAGTTCCAGCCACATCATTGCAAATGGCAAGATTTCATTCCTTTTGATGGCTGCATAATATTCCATTGTGTATATATACCACATCTTCTTTTTACATTCATCTGTTGATGGACATCTTGGCTCTTTCCATAGTTTGGCTATTGTGGACATTGCTGCTATAAACATTGGGGTGCATGTACCCCTTTGGATCACTACATTTGTATCTTCAGGGTAAATATCTGGTAGTGCAATTGCTGGGTTGTATGGTAGCACTATTTTCAACCTTTTGAGGAACCTCCATACTATTTTCCAGAGTGGCTGCACCAGCTTGCATACCCACCAACACTGTAGAAGGGTTCCCCTTTCTCCACATCCCTGCCAACATCCATCATTTCCTGACTTGTTAATTTTAGCCATTCTGGTTGGTGTGAGGGGGTATCTCATTGAGGTTTTGATTTGAATTTCCTGATGCTGAGCGATGTTGAGCACTTTTTCATGTGTCTGTTGGCCATTTGGATGTCTTCTTTGGAAAACTGTCTGTTCATGTCTTCTGCCCATTTCGTGATTGGATCATTTGTTCTTTGGGTGTTGCGTTTAAGAAGTTCTTTACTGATTTTGGATACTAGCCCTTTATCTGATATGTCATTTGCAAATTTCTTCTCCCATTCTGTCAGTTGTCTTTTGGTTTTGTTAACTGTTTCCTTTGCTGTGCAAAAGTCCCAATAGTTCATTTTTGCCCTTGCTTCCCTTGCCTTTGGCGATGTTTCTAGGAAGAAGTTGCTGCAGCTGAGGTCGAAGATGTTGCTGCCTGTGTTCTCCTTTAGGACTTTGATGGACTCCTGTCTCACGTTTAGGTCTTTCAACCATTTGGAGTCTATTTTTGTGTGTGGTGTAAGGAAATGGCCCAGTTTCACTCTTCTGCATGTGGCTGTCCAATTTTCCCAACACCATTTGTTGAAGAGACTGTCTTTTTTCCATTGGACATTCTTTCCTGCTTTGTCGAAGATGAGTTGACCATAGAGTTGAGGGTCCATTTCTGGGCTCTCGATTCTGTTCCATTGATCTATGTGTCTGTTTTTGTGCCAGTACCAAACTGTCTTGATGATGACAGCTTTGTAATAG